ATATATATATATGTGTGTGTGTGTGTGTGTGTGTGTGTGTAATTTGTAAGAAAACTGGATGCTCAACTAGGAGATGATAGAAACAACATGGTTCTTGAAATTCATTTCTCTGTATATGACAAATCAGTACCTACTGTAATACTTGCAATTTCCACTTCATCATTTATAATATTTCCTTAACCATCTGTCTGGTTTGTATTTCCCTTTTTTCACTCGTTTTCCACCTTGAAGTTTAATTTTAATGTGGAAATCCTGCAGCATGTCTTTGTCATTCATCAGATTTCATCTTCTTTGGCTCGTTTGACTTCCATCCATCTCAGATCCCTTTGAAAACCTGCGTGAGGAGAGTTCTGCTTCTCTTCTCTTCTTTTCTTTCCTTTCCATCTAAATCTTTTCCCCCCTCTCTTTTCCTCACTCTTTCTTTCCCTCTGTCTCGCTCTTTCATGAATGCAAGTAGTTAGGCTCCAGCCCAGCAATGAAATTGTCTCTGATAAGCGCAGTACCATTAGAGGTCTATTGTTAGACACAAATACAGAGCACCTCGTTTCTGATTCCTCCAAGAGATATCACAGCGCAATGCTCTCAAGTATTAGTGACCCTCCACATGGTATTTGAACTTATTCTAATGTAAATTCATCAGTTCAGGTCAGTCTGTGCTGGACACCATAGCACATAACATAATATTTAGATTAAAGGGGTCATATGATGCGATTTGGAGTGTTACAAGCTCTTGGTGCATAAAGAAGATCTGTAAATTTGCAAAGACTAAAGTCTCAAATCCAAAGAGATATTCTTTATAAGAGTTAAGAGTCAGCCACACCTACCTAAAACGGCTCGTTCTAACACGCCCCCACATATCTACCTCACTATGTGGGAAGATTTGCATAACGCCGCCCAAATGTTCACGCAAAGAAAGAAGGCATAACTTTTATTCTCACTGTAGTATTGTTGCCGCTTTCCGCCATGTCCTGAAGACGCTGTGTGCTTCGTTGTGAAAGCGAAACTACTTTGTTTGGTCTTCCAAAAGAGGACGATATCCGCTTCGTCATGCCTAGAGCTGATCCGTGCTGGTCGCTGAGGGAATACATCAACTTAGTGCTGTGGATCACCGGATCGGCTTTCACCGTGGACGAAGCCCGGGGTCGTCACATGTGCTTGCCGCTCCTTCGTCGGATCCGCCGGCTGCGCCGTTCTCAACCCCGCCGCCTCTGCTCACTCTAGCCCGGCCTTGGCTCACTCTAGCCCGGCCTCAGCTCACGACTCAGCTCAAGAGGACACGACTACAAATCAGTGGTTAAGTTGTAT